ACCACTCAGTAGATAATGGTTCTCAATGTGCAAACTACTTTTTCTTTTTGTCACTGCAGAGAAACCAAAAAATTATGACCAGGAAGCTTAGCTGTGGTTGCTTTCAAGCCTGTCCCAATTACACAAACTGAGACAAACTGATATATTTGTTCAACACCAATCATCAAGAGCCCCCTGAGTATCAGGCCCTGTGCATGGCTTCCCAGCCTCTTAGGTGAAGGCACAGATCCTTCCCTCAAGGAGCTCACAATCTAGTGAGGGCTTAGGGTGCTCTTCCCTGGGGAGTCCCTGGAGGCTGAGGCATGGGAGAGGCTTTTGATGATACACAGCTTGCCTGCAGATAGGAGGCTGGGTCCAATGACCTTGACAGAGTCCTCAGTTGACCCCACCTCCCCTCCTGTCTATGCAGCCCACTCTCCTGGGGCACAGATCACTGGCCATCTATTTCCTCACTGTGCACCCCTGAGCAAACACCAAAGAGCTGGAAACGAGGCAAGGCCAGACTGCCAACCTGGCAACTTCTGGATTGTACCAACTCCTCCTGCCTCCCCAAAACTTCACCCTAGACGCCTTCTAGTCATTCTGCTACAGCATAGGCACCCCGAGGGCAGGGGCCATGTCTGTTCATATGGATTCAGTGCCTACTCACAGAGAGAGAGGACCCCAAGGTGCATCTACAGAAAACAGCATCTATGACAAGCACTGAAATTGCGCCTCTGTCCAAACATCTGACACCCATCTTATACATCACTTTACCGTTATATCAGCTCAAAAATACAAGTCAATCTCGTTCATCTTTTACTTAACACATTATGGCACTACATGAAAATTACAACTGCACCTTCCTTACTTTCACTGATGAAAATTGTTCTACGATGAGCTCAAAGTCATTTTTTTTCCAGTTTCTTCTCTTTCTGTGCTCAGCAGAGCAAGATCATAGTCTTCCTTGACCCATGGAGGCTCTCAAATATGAAAGGATTAGTTTTAACCTATTGAATAATCTCTCACAGCTGGCAACGGAAACCAAAATAGTTAATAGAAACTGTTCAGGGTGCCCCTCCTCTTCAAGGGACACCCAGGGTATGTATCCTACCTTAGATATGTCTCTATGAGGACCTACTATGTGCCAGGCATTATTTGAGATACTAAAGACATAGGGGACATGAAGCAAAGTCCCTGTCTCCAAGGAGCTCCCATTCCAGTTTGGCAGCCAGGTAGTAAACAGAGAAACAGGCAAGTTGGTGACAGAGAAAGGCTAGGGCTACTTCAGTGAGCTGAGCAGAGAAAGCCTTGTGAAGGAGTGACCTGTGAGCAGAGGCCTGAGCATTAGAAGGAAACAGCTTGTAAACAGGGCATTCTGGGCTGAGGGAATGGCAAGTACAAAGGCCCTGGGGTAGAAACAAGCTCGGTGCTTTCAAGAACAGGGAATGGCCAGTGTGGTGGTAACTCCAGGACCCAGGGGGAGGACAAAGAGAGGTGAGGTCTGAGGAGCAGGCGGTGGCCAGATCTCAAAGGACCTTGCTAACCATGGGAAAGAGATTGGCTTTTATTCCCGGGAAGGCTCAGGCAACGCTAAATTGAAGAACCAGAGGAGAAAAAGCATCTGATTTCAGGATCTTCATGGAGAGCAAGGATGGAGGAAGAAAGTAAGGGAGGGAAGAGCAAGGCATTGAGATGCTCGACAAGGCCAGAGCCTTTTCGGGTGTGATGCACTCTCCTAGAAGAAACTCAGGTTTGTTGGTTTGCCCTACCCAGTGGATCCATGGTAGAAAGACCTGGCAATCTGCTTCTGTAAAGATTGTTGTTGTTACATGCCGTCGAGTCGGACCCAACTCATAGCGACCCCTCCTTGGGTTTCTGAGGCAGTATCACTACAGAAGTAGATCGTCCCATCTTCCTTCTGAGGAGTGTCTGGTGGATTTGAACCGCCAGCCCTTCTGGTTAGCAGTCAAGTGCCTCAGGCACTATGTTACCAGAGCTCCTCCTATGGGGCCATTCTACTCTGTCACATGGGGTCCCTATAAGTTGGAACAGACTCAATGGCACTCAACAACAGTCCTGCTCTGGTCCCTTAAAGGTAGCTGCTGTGGTTGTGCTAAGGTGCTTTGAACTTTTTGTGAGTTGGGAGTGGTGATTGGAACAAGGGGAGGAGCCTCCTCCCTAGTCCTCCTCCCTCCCCAAGCCTTGTCACAGTTCCAGCCTCCCCCAGCCCAGAGGAGGTAGACAGTCCCTTGGGGTTGAGAAAATTTGAAGCATCTGAGAAAAAAAAACAAAGAATAGGTGTTTCAATAAAAGTTTGGTAGGTGAGATATGGCTGCTGGAGATGTGTGTGTGGGGTGAGCCTTATAGTGGGACAGCAAGGAGGGGGTTCCTCAGCAATTCCATGCCATTCCCTAGCTCCTCAAGGACAGGGTCTTGTCTAGTGCATCTCCGTCTCCCAGCCCTGTGCATGATGGGGCCAGCTCTTTGCTGGAGCTCTGGCGATGTTTGCCAAATGAATGAATGAAAGGGCTATTACTGGAGGAAAAAAAAGGGGCAGAGGAGAATAATGGATGGTGAGAGGACAGAAAGAAATGAGAAAGGGGAGCACTGGATGTCCCCAGGATCAATGACAATTATTGACATTTATAGATCAATATCTTGGCCTAGGCCTTTTTCATGTATTAACTCATTTTACCCTCTCAACAATTCAGAACAGTAGGTATTTTTATTATCCCCATTTTACTGCTGAGGCAACTGAAGCACAGAAGGGTCAAATGCCTTACTCAGGGCCACCTGGCTGGTGAGTGGCTGGGGTCTGACAGTAAAGCCCAAGCCATTAACCATTTCTTTATACTGTCCCAGGAGTGGAATGAGCCCTGAACCAGAAGGCATAAGACCTACTTTGACCCTTCTCACATGACTACCCTTCACTGTGGCTGTTTCTCCTTTTGTAAATAGAACTATTAGGCTTGAGACCTCTTGGGCTGCATTCTGCTTAGTCACCAGGCACAAGTGTCTTTTAGGCTATGGGTGAGCATACAACCACTGGGAAGTGGATGCCTTTGACACTGGGGTAGGAAAGAACAATGGGTCGGCAGGCCTATGCTGTTGTTGTTGTTGTTGTTGTTATGTGCCGTTGAGTCAGACCCGACCCATAGCGACCCCTCCTTGGGTTTCCAGGGCAGTATCACTACGGAAGTAGATTGCCCCATCTTCCTTCCGGGGAGTGGCTAGCTGCTGTCAAGTGGGCCCTGACTCACAGCGACCTTATATATAACAGAATGGAGTACTGCCCGGTCCTGTGTCTCTTCACCATCATTGATAGGTTTGAGTCCATGGTTGTGGCCGCTGGCCATCATCTCACTGAAGGTTTCCCTCGTCTTTGCGGACCCTCTACTTTACCAAACACGATGTCTTTTTCTAGTTTGGTCTTTCCTGGTGATATGTGGATCCAAGAGGACTGTTGGTTAGCATGCATCACTTCTTCCTTAATTATGAGGATGAAGAGGGAAGGAAACTAAATGAACATGGAAGGTGTGTCTCATTCCCAAATCTGACTTTTCTGAGGCCAGCAGATGCACAGCCCACAAATCCTGAACTGACTCCCAGGCCATTGCAGGTGGTAAAAACACAAGCTCTACTCTCGAGCTGATATTTCCCTAGCCAGTCTCCAACAGCAGGGATCATTCAGGATGCAAGGGGTGGGGCATGGTGGGGGGACACTTGAGCCTCCTCCCTCATGGAGGCCAGGGTGTCAGAGAGGAGCCAGTCCCTGTCCATTTGCTTCTGGATCAAGTTGGACACAGGGCATCCACCTTGCACAATTATTTTTCAGTACTTCAAGTCACTTCCAGTCCTGAGAGGCTTTGCTGAAACCTTGCAGATTGGGCCCCAAGGTCTACCCTCCTGCAAAAATGTTTACCAGCCTGTGGCATTACTTCTTAGGTTAAGGCCTTGTGTTGCACGTGCCTGAAAACTGTGGGTCCTATTTTTAATTTTTATTCATTAACTTGCCTGATTGTTTATCTATATAATTTACTATTGTGGTCAAATTCTCACTTTTCTAAACAGCTAGGTATTCCCTCCCCCTGCCTCTTTCTTTCAGATCTCACATTATGTCCATCCTCTCTGCTCAGAAAGCAAAGCAGGTACAGGGATTAGCCCAGTCCTGGGATGGGGTGGCCTAACTGAAAACCAGGACTGACTGACAGTGACTGGCTAGGCTCTGTTACCTGCCTAGGCTCAGCCTGGTGTGACCCCCTCAAACCAACTGGGAAGTGGGAAGGGGTACATGGGGAAAAGGGGGGGGTTCGGGTCCTCAAAGCTGTCCTTCCCTACCACCTGGCTAGAAGAGAGGAAGAAAGTCAACTGTCCCAGAGGCTCTTTATCCTATTGCCTTGTTTTATTTTCCTCACAGACTCTTACACTCTTTGAAATACTATTATTAATTTGTTTTAATGTTCGTTATCTGCCCCCTCCCTCCATGCTGCAAGGCCCATCTTGTTAAAAAATACACTTAAGACTTTATGACTTGCACAGCGAACGGACAACTCCTTGCAAAGAGTAAGCGCAAAGTGGGTATCTAACAGTGAGAACATTGCATTCCTTCTGGGTTCCCAACTCAAACTTGCAAAAAGGAGCTAGTTCTTCAGTGGAAAAGTGGAAATCAAACTGGCTCTCAAGCTTCAGAACAGGTGAAAAGTCACCCCCGCCCCCTTCTCTCTTCACTCCAAGCCTCAACTCTACCAATTGGGAGGTTGATGAGATCTTCTGGAGCCACAGAACGGAGCAGCGCGCCCGGATGCTCCTCCACAGGCTGCGTCTCGCGGTGCACCCTAGCCGCGCTAAGCCCGGGCGGTGGGTGGGAAGAAACCAGGAGGGGACGCTTGGGGGTGAGAGGGTGGAGCGGAGCCCGGCCCCACGATCCGGCCCGGGTTTTCCAGGCCACCCACTCGCCCGCCCGGCCGCGGAGAATTCCATAATCACAGCGGGCGAGAGCAGAGACGGGGAGCGAAAAATCCGGGATCCGGCAACTTTGGGCAGCGCATGCGCGCCCGCGGCGCTCCATCCCAAACACACACACATTTTTCCCCCGGACTTGGAAAGTCACCCAAAGCCGCCCCAAGTGCAGGTAAGAGACTCGGCGCTCCCTCTGCCGCGGCCCCACCACCACACCAGGCTCCGCAGGCCTCCAGAGACGCTTCCCCGCCTCGCCCCCTGCCCGGCTGCAAACCCCCACCCCGGGGCAGCCGCTTGCAGCTGAGAGCGGGCGACAGAGCGAGCGAGAGAGCCAGCCAGCCAGCCTGCGAGCGGCGGCTGCCACCCAACTCCAGCCGTGCGGGAAGCTGGGGCACCGAGAGCTGGCACTGGGGCTTGGGGCGACGCGTTGCCCGCCTTGGCCAGGGAGAATGCTCGGCGCGCGGCTCCGGGGGAGGGGAGGGCTGCTGCTCCTGGGGGTCACTTACTTCAACTGAGGGGGCGGTGGGGTAGGGGAGAAGAGGGGGAGGTGCCAGGCGAGAGTGCAGGACTTTGCAAATAGGGTGGGGGCGCCCCCCGCGCTGCGGGCTCCGGGGGGGGGCAGGTGCTCTCCAATACCGGGTAATCACTCCTTCCCCCCACGCCCCCTCCAGCTGCTGGAGGGTCGTGCGCTCTTCTGGGCGGAGAAGGAGGCAGGGGTGAGGGGAGCCTGGGGTGACTTTGCAAGACTTTGCCCAAGGGAAAGGGTGGGTGGGGAACCCTTCCAGCTGGCCCTTGTGCCCCGATACTGGGGTATGGGTGCAGCCGGCAGAGGTAGGGAGTGTTCGCTTAGGCCTGGGGTACCAAGGAGTGCCCCCGGTGGGAAAACGAAGGCAAGAGGTTGCTTGGATGGGGAAAGCGTCGCCCCCTTTTTCCTCTGTGCCTGGGAAGTTTGTCTCAAGTGCGCTGCTCCGGGCGCGGCAAGTGGCGCTCCTCACTCTCCCCACCCCCCAACCTCCCCGGGCGCAGGGTTGGCAACGCTGGGCACAGGGAGCCAGGGCCCCGGCTTAGAGCCGCGCGGCTGTCGGCCGGAGCCCGCCTAGGTGCGGGGTAAAAGTTCCGGGGAGTTGCAGTGGCTGTTGTAAGCGCTGGGAGAGAAGTTGCGCCAGGAACGTGGGACGCTGGCCTGGTGGGCCCCGCGGGCTGGCGGTGCGGTGCGCTCCCGAGGAGCACGCCGGCGAGGAGAGGGAGAGGGTCTGGCAATGACTGTGCCTTCCAAGTAGGCTGAGGGTGAGTCTCGGAGCTCAGCAATTGGGGTGGAGGAGACCTGAATTCAGGGGCGCACAGCTGAAATAGGCGTCTGACCGAGGGCAGAGAGAAGAGAAGCTTGTGGAGCGCAGAGGACACCCCAGAGAAGGTGGCCGAACCACCCAATCACTTGGGATAGGGCTTCAGGGCAAAGAAGCGCGTGGTGACTGGTGGAGGAGTGTAGAGGAGCGGGGCTCCTGGAGCGCGTGGGAATGGGGTCCAGGCTGGTGGGCAGTAGGGGAGCTCCTGGGGCAGGGGGCCGAGTCCTGCGCCCGGAGTGAGCCGGCCGGGCGGAGCGGCGGCCGGTTTATTTTTACTCGGTGGCATTTGCAGAATGTGCAGCTGATGGCCGTCGGCCGCCAGGAAGTTTTGCTTTCTGTTCTTTCTCTTTCCGAAGCCAGCGCGGCTGGGAGCGGGCGGGCTGCGGAGCCCGGCAGAGAGAGGGGAGGGGGCGGCCGCCGACGCGCGGACCCCGCAGGCAGGGGAGAGCTGGGGTTGGGGTGTGAGTTGGCCAGGCACCGGGCGAGCGCTGGGCCGCTGTGGAGCATTTGGGTGAATGTCTGTCCCGGGCGTTGGAAGCTCCTCCACGAGGGGAACAGGTGTACGCGCCGTCAATCACAGCGGGAGGGACACTTTGGGGGCGTAGATGAAGATAGTAATAATAGATTTCTCTCTAGGGGGTGGGCACAGATTCTTCTTCCAAGTCATCCCCGACCTGGGTCCGGAGTTGGGGGAGGTGTGGAGTGCTAGGGAGACGAGGCCCGCTTCTCCCTCCACGCAAGTTCCTTCGGACCCATCCGCAGCTTGGGACGGGCCTGGGTGCGGCGAGGACTTCCTTCCAGCCATGGTGGGCAGGGAGGGTGCGGGTGCATGTGTATGTAGGAGTTTCCACCAGGAGAGCAGCGATAACACCCCTCCAGATCTCCTTCAAACCTGGCTGGATCAAGGGGCAACTAGCGGCATGTGTATGCGTCGATACCCCTGCGAAGGCTGGGGGCGCGGCCCTCAGTGTGTGTGGGTGTCCCGCCAACCTCTGTAGACTTAAAGACATATAGGGACGGTGAGAAGAAAAAGGACAGGGTAGTCACTGGGCAAAGTTAGTAAATTTAGGACGTCTCTAAGCTGTTACAGTCGCCTTGTGACAGCGCGCCAGGGGACTGGAAAACAGATCGCCGGTAGTATTGGCGCCCCCCCCCCCAGCCCCAAGGTGCACGCGCGCGAACACACTCACACACATACGAACACACACACACACACTCTCTCTCTCTCTCTCGTCGCCATCCTAAAGGGAGCTGTCCCGGCTGAGCAGGAGCAGCTGCGCCGGGCATGGGGGGGAGTTAGTTGGTCCCCCGGGGCTGCGCCCGGGCTGCGCTCCACGTGCCCGGAGGGGGCGCTGGGCTGTTCGGAGCCCGAGCGCAAAGCGCCGGGTTTGCGCCTTGGTGGCGGCTAGGCGGTGCGTCCCGGGCGGACGTAGAGACCCGCGCGATCTCCAGCTCCCCACTCTACCTCCCCCAACCCTCAGCCTGTTTCCCACTTCACCAACTTCGGCTTTTACTGGTTTGCCCCTCGAGTTCTCGGACCCTCTCCAGGGCAGGGTTGGGAACTTCTCTGTCCCCGGAATCCTGCGCATCAGAGTTACCGCCCCCCCCCATCTTGTTAGCCACCTTAGAGGCGGTTAACGAGAGTTTATAGAGAATATTGTTGAACTTCAGTAATCAGGTTTCCAGCGATCTTATGCCTCCTGTTTAATTTATTAGACTAGTTATTTATTCTGTTGATGATAATCTGTTGCTGGTTTCTATGGAGATGTTAAACTGATCTCTTTCAGAAATCAAACTCCATATGCACTAAAACGTTTAAAGGGGCAGTGCTTTCCTTTTTTTTTTTTCTTTTTGTTTTTTAGACTTTGCACCTTGCTGAGACTTCGTGTCTTGCTCCGAGTCTGGGCGCATATTATCTCCTTCTTACGAAGGAGAGGAGCCGAAAGACTCACGCTTTGTGGCAAGTACAGCTTATTATGGCTAGAAGAAAGCGAAGGCTTTGATCCCTAAGTTGCATCATCATTTAAAACAGATCATTTCACCACCACCCCCTTCCCCCCTTCGTATAAGAGCAAAATTCTTTCAACATCAAAGAGTCCAATCTAAAAAAAAAAACACTATTGTTTAAAAAAAATAGCAAAGTCAGTCAAATGTGAACCTCCCCCTTTATCTGCTTGCCTTGTGTTTAAAGAATTTTTTGAATAAGAAAAACAAAACTTGTAGCTCAGCTAATTTTTTCATACTTATTAATAGTTTATCTTGCCCCCCCCTCCTTTTATTTAAAAAGAAGTTCAAAGTTAGATTTCTCTGCCTGTGGGGGTTGAGGTATATTTGCTTCTCTTTTAGATCCTGACCATCTGTTTTTGGAGAATTAGCCTCTGGGAAGAAGGGAAAAGGAGTTTTTACTCAAACTTAATGGACTGCTTTAAATTTTGGGGGAAATTAGTCACCCACCCAAATATTTTAAAGTCCTTGTATCCCTGCTTTTTGGGAGCTCAGTCATCTCTGGTGGGTAAGACCATATCAACTTTTTTTTTCTCTGTTCAGGGATTTTCTTTAGACTCCTGACTTTGGAGGGATGGATGCAATGAATTAAGAAAGTTAAGGCAGAAAAAAATTATCTTGGTTTCTGACACTCTGAAAAATTGCGAACCTACCCTGAACTCAGATATTTATCATGCTGACAGATACGATACAAAGCGATTGCATTTCCTAATGATCCTTGGGGACTAAGTTGTAGGTAAAACCATTTAATGCATTTTTAATATTAAAGTAAGGCCCGACTTCCATTTTCTTGGAGGTGGGGGGAGTGGATGTCTCTATAAAGCTGGTGCATTCTGAGCATACTGTTTTTTTCTTTTCCAACTGGAACCTCCCACCCCAACCCCTTTCACATTTCCATTTACTTTGGGGAGAGGTGGGCCACATGCAGGGCATTGGCCTTCATAAATAAATGTATATTTGGCCAGAAGGTCCAATGCTGAATAAGAGCACACTTCAAAACAAAACTATACAAAACAAACAAACAAACTCAGACTCCACCCCTGCTATAGGAAATAAAACAGAGACAGTACTTGACTTTCTTTCCTTCGCTCATCCTTGTTCTCTTTTATATTATTTTATTTTGGAAGATGGTGGACTGGTACTTGCTGCTCAACTCAGAGGAGAGAGGAGCCATTCCTGCGTTATTTGCCCCTTTGCTATATTTTCAAAATTTGTTTGATTTGGATGGCAAACAGAACAGAGGCTTACGAGTGAAAAAAAAAAAAAAGAGCACTGTGGCTTTAAACTCAGGAGTTTGCATATTCTCCTTGTATCTTTCCCCTTTGCTAATTATTGTGTTGTTTTCAGAGCAAATATGTCATATCCATGGCGACCGGGCAGGTTTATTGTCTTTCTGAAGCAATAGCTCACATAAGTAATTAATGACTTTCTTTTTTTTCCTCTGGCTTAGGTTAAACAGATCATTCAAGGAAAGTCATCTCTCTCTCTCTCTCTCTCTCTCTCTCTTTTTCTTTAGCCCGGTGACATAAGAACATGAGTTAGAACAAGAAAATACTTTAACCAAGAAGTCAACAGCTTATTTCCCCCCATTTCTTTTAAAAGCTGAAGTGTCAGCTTTCAGACATATGAGGCTGTCATTTTCGAAGCCGTGAGCAGTGTAGTCCACGGCTGGGCTGGAAATCCATTTGAAGGCTGTGCAGGGTGGAGACAGGGGAGGTATTGGTATGGGGGGGAGTAACCTGAAGGAATTTGCTTTTGAGGTGGGGGGGAAGCCCTCCAAAATGAGTATTTCTCCTGTATTTGGCAGAATTTAATTAAATTG